CCTTTGTCACCGGTTCTGTTCATTATTTTCATGGACAGAATTTCTAGGCGCAGCCAGGTGTCGGGTGGGGTCCAGTTCGGTAGCCACCGGATTTCATCTCTGCTTTTTGCAGATGATGTGGTGTTGTTGGCTTCTTCGAACCAGGACCTGCAGCATGCACTGGGGCGGTTTGCAGTAGAGTGTAACGCAGCTGGGATGAAAATTAGCACCTCTAAGTCCGAGGCCATGGTTCTCGACCGGAAAAAGGTGGTATGCACCCTTCGGGTCGGGGATGAAGTCCTGCCTCAGGTGGAGGAGTTCAAATATCTGGGGGTCTTGTTCACGAGTGACGGTAGAATCGAGCGTGAGATTGACAGGCGGATCGGTGCTGCGGCCGCAGTAATGCGGTCGCTGTATCGGTCCGTTGTGGTGAAGAAGGAGCTGAGCCGAAAAGCGAAGCTCTCAATTTACCGGTCAATCTACGTTCCTACCCTCACCTATGGTCATGAGTTGTGGGTCATGACCGAAAGAACGAGATCAAGGATTCAAGCGGCTGAAATGAGCTTTCTCCGCAGGGTGGCAGAGCGCTCCCTTAGAGATAGGGTGAGGAGCTCTGTCACGCGGGAGGAGCTCGAAGTAGAGCCGCTGCTCCTCCACATCGAGAGGAGTCAGCTGAGGTGGCTTGGGCATTTACATCGCATGCCCCCCGGACGCCTCCCTCGGGAGGTGCTCGGGTGCCGTCCCTCTGGGAAGAGACCTAGGGGAAGACCTAGGACATGCTGGAGCGACTACGTTGCTCGGCTGGCCTGGGAACGCCTTGGGGTCCCCCCAGAAGAGCTGGAGGAAGTGTCGAGGGAGAGGGAAGTCTGGGTATCCCTGCTCAGACTGTTGCCCCCGCGACCCGGCCCCGGATAAGCGGTTGAAGATGGATGGATGGATGGATAATTTTCGGGAAAACTGTCAGCATTAGGGGTGTCCAATATTAACTTTTTTCCGATATTGTCCAAACACTCAATTTCCAATTCCGATATCTACCGATAAAGTCTAGTTGCTGGCAACAACATTCTGCACACGATCGCCTGATTATTAAAACTGATTAAATTTTTTAGCTGCAATGCTGCCATCTAGTGGCTTTCACTTTAATATACAGCTGTTTATCCCCAAAACTATTTTTAGTGCACACATCATTTGGAAACCCAGGCGTTGCGTTATTGGGTTTTCATTATCGGAGGAACAACCGATAACGATTTTTTTACGGATAATACATAATTATGCTAATATGGGTTCGATAATATCGGAAACGCACAACTGTAAAGTACAATCAGTACAGTCTACGTAGACCACACTGGTAAGAAAATACCGATATATTCGCCGTATATCGTATCTTTGCCCCCCGTATCGTGATATATATCGTATTTTTGCTTATATTGTCACTTCTTGGTGACAAAGTTATAACCTAGTTCACAGTAATGGTTTGATTTAAAACGAACCACCGTTATAATGGGAATGTACTTAGCGCCACCTACAGCGCAGTGAAGGATTAATCGAGGTCTTTGAACCCGTCACCCAGCTGTGACTGGGACTCGGTGTTGGTGTTGTACCTGGCACAGGCGTCTGTGGCTGCAGATGCAAAGAATCTTCCGGTAAACTCTGGTCTGTCTGCTCTTCCGGGTCTGATGTTAAAATCTAAGAAAGATGAGAATTTATTACGTGACACAAAACTTCAAGTTGTGTAAGAACATTCCGGAAAACTCAAATCCTACGACAACCTAGAAGAAGAAATTCTACTACAAATATAATTACGATGCCGGCGTCAGAACTCTATTGCTGTTGTACATCGCAGATGTAACGATACATGCAAGTCACGACACAATTTTATCACAACTTTTTTTTAGACAAACTGAACTCCAGACAAGAGCTTGAGGCACCTGACGTCTTGGTTTAATAGTCAGTCACAACCAGCATTTTTAGGCGCATAGCGCCACCTAGTGTACTCGGTCTAGTCCTTACACCTTGATACGTGATTTGTTTTTTTTATTTCAACTGATGTGAATTTCAGAATCGCATTCGTATCGAATCTTTAACCGTCTGTCGTTCATGGAGCCTCCCAGTGGAGCAACAGGATATTGTTGACCCGACCGGGAGTTCTGGCTCCACCCTACCTGTCTGACGGCAGTGAGGCTGGTCAGCGTCCCCAAGCTGCTGCTATCTGTGATGACCATGGCCTGGGACAGCAGACTGGACGGATGGTACTGGGGCGAGTCCGACTTGCCGTACACTGAGAAGAAGGACGAATGGTACGTGAGTCGTGTCTGGAGCTGATACCCGACAAAATGTGGTCACGCATCCGTTGTCTTACTGTGACACGGCAGCTGCGTCATGGTGGCCATGAAGGGATTGGCTCCCATGTGACTCTGAAGCTGCTGCGCGATTGGCTGCTGCGGAGACCCGTGACGCTGCTGCTGAAACGAGATCGGCTGAAGCGTGGTGAAGCTGGCCCCTACGTTGTTTATGACCGTCTGTGGCTGCGTGGAGGCCAGACCTGTTGGACAACAACGGCACGTCATCTGCATGTATACGAACGCCGTCATTTTAAAAAAACCTGTGGAGATCAGGTTACCGATCAGCAGCGAGGACTCCCCCAGACTCATTACACTGGGCAGGGACGCCATGATGAGCCGCTGTGAGGATGCGGTGGAGCAGGACAGGTTGTGTAGGGAGGTCGGAGTGCTTACGGGGGGCAGTGGACCGCCGCTGGACAGCTACAAGACAACCAAAGACAACACTCATCTCAGCAGCGGGACTCACAGGGAGACGCATTTAGAAACGGGCGACAAACTCTGACCTGCTTCGGGTTGTGGGTCTCCAGGAGTGTGTGGCTGGGCTCCAGCTGAACTGGACTTATCACGTGACGTCCAGCACCACCCTTGGCAGAGGCGATGGTGTCACACAGGATCTGCTGGTTGTATTTGACACCTGAAGCAGAAACAGTCGGTAAATCTGTCAGCGGCCGTTTGGCCGTTGGTGACGCATACGTTTTTTTTTAGCGGTTCCGAGATTCGTTACCGTGCTCGGGGCTGGACTGAAGGTTGAGGTTGACGGATGAAGCTGATTGGTTGCCGAAGAGCGTGTCGAGGGCCAGCTTCTGACGAAAGGCCTCTTCTTTCCTGCGGTTGGCGAACCAGTTGTAGACCCGGACTTCGGTCACCAGGTTGGCGCCCTGTCCGGCTAGCTGACAGGGGGACACTCCCCTCTGGAAACACTCTGCCCTGAGAAAGGAAGGCAACGGTGAAATCCACAGGACCTTATAAGGTTGGGTGCCCCCCCACCCTCTCAGACCCCCCCAACTGAATTGGTAATTACACCTCACTATTTTGCCTTGAACTACCTAATAAGATGTGGATTGGTGATTCTCGAACTATCGTGCACTAAAGGAGGTACTTGGACTCCCCTGGTGCTGATCAGTTTTTTTTTTCAAACTCCATTTCTATTGACTACATAAGTTTCTGGATCCATTTGGAGAGTTCTCAGAGTGTTCGATGTGGACCAAAGGTCACCAACGGTTTTGGGGTTTCAGATCGCAAAACATCTTGACAAGAAAAAAAAGGGAACCGATAGAAGAACAGATGTGAAGAGCGGACGGCGTCCTGGTCGGTGAGCATCACTCACCTGTTACATTCTTCCACCAGCCCTTCTCTCTCCTCTTTGCTGGGATTCTTCTGTCGTTCGTAGGCCTGGAACAGGATCTGCAGCGACGCCGGACCCCACTTGAATCGGTTCCTCCGTCCTTTTCTGTCCTGTTCTTCGAGCGACGCCAGGCCGTGTTTGGCATTGGTGAATTCTAGAAGGAAACGGTGCCGTATTTTTTTTTTCCCTGCGGAACTGGTTAGTCCTCGGGACTAACTCTGGCGATACGATACATATCGCGATATAGCGGCAACAGTTGCGATAACACCCCTACTCCTGAGTAGAAATGTGTGTGAAATGCGAAGGGTATGTGAAAGCCCCCATCTGCCCCCGATCTATACTCACGCTGGCTGATCTCGCACCGCTTCTTGAAATACCAGCTGTACAGGGCAGCTCTCTTCTGGTTTTTCATGGGCGTGCCTTTGTTGAGGTGCTGCGAGAGGTGGGACTGGTTCAGACCCATGGACTCCACCACCTCTCTCTGGGGGAGGTTGTGCTGCTGCATGTAGGTTTTCACCTTTTTCGCCATGTGCCAGGGATCCTCCCTGCGATAAGACGACAAGTCAGTGACACGTCAACACACGCCAGAGCGGTAGATCTACAGGTGAAACTCTCGAGAGTCGCTCCCGATTACCCGCAAATTAATAAATAAAACAATCCCGGAATCTGGAGCGAGCAAGAATGTGCATCTGAAGAGGATACACACAAAAGTACTATAAAAGTACCCGATAAAACCCAACAAGTGTGTGAAAATTCTGATCGGTTGAAACAAAATGAATCGTGCATCGCGGTGTAAGCAGTCGGCCGCGTTAGCTCAAAAAAGGCCACTGATCGTATCAGGACGCTACACCCTCTAGTACAGTAGGTGGCGGTATGCTGTCCTTTACCAGTTGCGGCATTTGTAGTACTACTTCATCGTACTGTGTGTGTCTTTTTAGGACTAAATAATCTTCACATACCGGTCTGTGCTGCTGTGCCCTACTGGCAGAGGCGGGTATGGCGGGTATTTCCGGATAATCGGTTCATTCGAAGTTCGTGACTGAAACTGAAGCTTGGTTTTATTTTGTTTATCTTTTTTTATATTAATTTTTGTTTTTCTGCTCCCCCGAGAGAGAGCGACGGTTTCGCAGACGTTGGACGTGAGACGGAAGTACAGAGAGACGTATTGACACGAGGAGATAAGAGACAACAAACAGGGTCAAAGTCCAGTCCGGTCACAGACACCAGTGGAAAAAAAGGCTTTTATTTTTTTACCTCATTAAACACCAAATCAAAACCCAAGTCCAGTTCAATCGTACAACGGGTATTTCTCAAATACGCCAAATACGCGGTTTAAACATTAGCCGTGTATTTTCTTTTATTATTAGCGTTACTGCGTGTATTATGACAGTTTGTTAATCCCAGCATTTCACGCATAAATAGCGAGACGCGCCGTTAGCTCTCACTCGGTGTGTCCACCTAAACGTACACGTTCGGCCGCGCTCTATTAATCTTTACCTCCGCGTGTAACTTATTTATTAAGAAATGACCACAGAATAATGATGGAGTGGGGTAATTAGTAACTAGCAAAGGAGGAACTCGATTTAAATTAGCCCGAGACGCCAG